TATTCAACTCTATGCATTTTCTCTCTGCTAGTAAATCGATACCAAATATCCATGACAGGAATGATGAAGAAAGAGTAAAATACCAAAGCATAGAAAGTAGTTCCTATTTAGATAATCTCATAATCTATAGACTAGAACAGAAATTCTATAGACAGTCAGTAAAAATTCATGTGATATTATTAAAACTATCTAACCTAACTGCTAACCAACCAATTTGCATTGTTCCCAAATATTGTCTATAGAATTTTTGATAGTAGCTAAACAACTAGGTCAAGAAAAGGCCTTAAAAGATTAGATATTAACTTGGTGATAGTAATTTTAGTGTTTTTATATCATCAATATTTCAACTAGCTCCAAAGTTAGAATTAGTTTTGATTTTTTCAATAGTTTTTGTCTGTGTTGCATGTTGATATTGTTACTTCTGTTATAGAAAACCAATGAGAGAAATAGATTAATAATGCCAATTTTATTACAGTATTATGCAAACTTCTAAAAAGAAATTAAATAATATATCAAAACCAACACATAAGTTAGTGAATGATTATAGGTTAGTATTATAAAAACTTATCAGTTATTTTCTTTTTGGGTTAAAGCCTGGCAGTACTCTCACTATATCTCAAATATAAAATCTGCATGCTCCTTGTCTGTTAAGAAATTATATAAAAAAATAATCCTCAAGAGCATGCTGAATAGAAGTTAGCAGTATTCTCTACTTATTAAACTATTAAGGAATATTAAGAATTAAATTGTACTAACAATAATAAAATTGATATTTCTGATAAATTTTCATCTACACATTGAATATAAAATTAATGATACACTGTTTGTTAAAATATTTAAAATAAATTGTTTTTAGATATTTTGAATATAAAATTGAAGGTACTTTACATCTTTTAAAATCAATAATTACCTCCTGCACTTGAATAAATACGTGTTATTTCACCAACAATCAAGTTACCAACACCTCATTTCACTGATGATTAATTCACCTACATGTTTATTTTACAGATAATTATTTCATCTACAGCTTATTTTACTGACAAGTTTTTTAAAACTTTAATTCTAAACCTGACCCTAACAACAATGATCAGAATTATTTTGTTAGTGAAATGACTTCAGTGAAATAATTGTTGTAAAATAAACATGTTGGCTAATTGATTGTCAGTGAAATAGTGGAGTAATTGTTGGCGAAATATGCACCACCGTGCTTGTACTTCATTTTTCATAATTGGATAGATAGAAATACCTTATACTTGTGTGAAATCCTAGTATAAATAATTAGAAAAGGCACATAGCCAATTGTTTAGAATATCACTTCATTCGCTATAAATATGACTAAAAATCCAAGTGAGAAAAATAATTATACTTTGAGATTATAATAATTCTGCTGCCTTTTTGACTGACTTCAAATAAAAGAATCATTTTTTTTTTTTGTTTTTTAATTCAACATTTCCAATATACAAACTAGTTCAAATACTCTAAATTATAACAAATGACATATTTATAAGTTTTCATCAAACCAATACCAAAGATATTGTAATACTTTCGCCTATAGGCATATAATTAACTCTGAAAATCTGAAATATAATAAGGAGTTATTGTGTAAAAAATGTAATGATGAATGAAAAGAAACAAGAAACAAGATAGCAGACAAAACAGAAGAAATCATCAAAGACATGGAAGCACTTTGGTAAGTAATTGTGAGTGGAGTGGGAATACATAAAGAGTAAAAGTACTTGAAACATAATTCTAAAATAGTTTGGAGGGAGACTAAATTTGGTAGAGCCTAACTTAAGAATAATTAGCTCTAAGTTAATAATCGTGTTGTGATTAATATAATAAAGTTGCTATGTAATATATTATAATAAAACTTTACAAAAAAAAAAAAAAAAAACTATCAAAAATATTATTTATACAATGCAATTACTCAAAACCTTAGTGCTACTGACTCTAGCACCACTCTGACTACTCCAAACTTTAATGTTAACAACTTCAACACCATTCTGATTACTCCAAACCTTAATGATACCAACTTCAACATCACTT